GATGGGCTGAATTGCACAAAACGCATGATCGCACCGGCTAGTCTGGTGCGCGTTGCCATTTTTTACAATGGAGTGGCGACAATCAAATGGATGTTCAGATATCATTCTCACTAAAGATTGAGATCTAAACAGAATTATATTGCCACCTCGCTTTTCCCTTTCCTCAGTGTGCTGGACGGGGCATTCGTCCTAATCTCAAACGTTCCAGCTTACAAGCACAACACTAATTGCCGGTTTCACATAACCGAAACAAAAACCAAAACCACGAACACTGTAGTTAACTGGGATGCTGGATGCGTGACATAAAGAAGCAATCTTCTCCGGTGCTCCCTTACAATAAACGCTCATATCGTGTGACTCATCCTCTGGATCATGCACAATGACAGACATCCGCTGAAGCGATGAACTGAAATTTTTTCAAACTGAAAAAAGAAAACTTTAGAAAAGCACAAACTTTCATGATTGCTTAGCTGGGAGAGAATTCCCCAAATCTTGACTTTAAATGTCAGTTCCTCCAAAAAGACACACAAATGTTTTCTGGTAGAAGCGGGTTCACCTGAATGTGAACTGCCTTAGAATAGCAAGTTCGATTTGCCGATCACAGCCAAACGTGCCCGGTATGCTACGCACAACTGGAGGCTGCAGCACATCGAAACGTGCAGTTTCCTTGATTCTCGAATTCATCGTTTCATCCAGCGTCCATCCGGTACTTTTGAAAAGAATCAAGTCGAGAGGGTCGCCACAGAGAAGTCCATCAATACTGCAAGCAGTCTGCATTTAACAATTTTACGTAAAAGTAGTGCGGAACTGAGGAACACGAAAAGAACGAAAGAACGGACCGTGTCAAGCTGTGACACGTAGATATTGCTTCAATGAGCTTGCGGTAATCCCACACTTCTGGTGTATTCAACGATGTGTAATCACGGACAAACGTTGACTTTTTATCATCGGACGAGATGGGACGCAACGAATGAAAATCCAAGCCATCTTCCGTCAACGTGCCCGTTTTATCGAAGCATACCTAAAAATCATTGGAATATGAAGCAAATTCAACGCTCTCGCTGCATTTCTGTAACAGATGCATCTGTCTGTGGTCAGCAGTGCTTTTATCAGCGACAAAATGACTTCAACATGCCCCATTTAGGAGTTCTCTGAAAGTCGATATGAACGTGCTTGAAATCTTTTGAGCAATAATGCATACATGTGTAAAGAGGCTTCGAACCAGTTCACAGCGATGGTGATTTTTCAGAATTTTAAATAGAGGAATGTGTTTTAGCATCAAGCGTTATAACAACTTCTTACAGTTGCAAAAACAACCAGTGAATATAAACTGTGATGTAAATGACTCCCTCACCGGCTGGAGGTATCAGTGATCTTCATGTTTTTTGCCCGCTGTGGCGTGCGTGTTATATTCAGTAGTGTTAATAATTAAGGTTAGAAGATGGCCAGTACGTCTCCCCAAGTGCGCAGTGTGTACACAGCGTCCCTACTGCGTCTGTCCCATCGATTGCTCGTGCACCGCGTTATTCCTGTCCTTTTTTTGGTTGTTTGTTATGTTTTACTGTTGATGTAATTCAATCCTTGCACGCAAACTGCATCTCGATAGACACAACAAAACACCGGCTCTTATGACTGAGGATCAAGTTTTCTTTAGTAATGACTCCCAAGCAAGAAAAGTAAATAATTCAAACCCAGTTGAGAAGCACAGACGAACCCAAAATTTGGATAAACTGAGTCTTTAATTTAAGCAGTACATCTGAAGATGTTTTTTTTTTTTTCGCCGAAACTTCTCATAATTGATAAATGCGGAGAAAGCTAACTTCGACCGCTTTTGCTCAAAAGACAATCAAGTGTGGACAGCATACCGCATTAATTGCTCCACAGGTGTTGATTGTTGAGGGTGAAATACAATAGATATGCCTCTTGTGGAGACGCATCTGAGATGCCAAAACTCCAATACTCATCGCAGCTAGAAAATTCTAATCATTGTCACTGAAGGTTACAAAATCTTTCTGCCAAACTACGTAATTTGGCCTGTTTCACAGATCTTCACTCGATTTTTCTAATAGAAACTAATGAAAGAATTAAAACCCGCCCACTCCACATTTCGCTTATTGCAACGAGCTCAAGTAGTCCAATGAAACGAATTATATACACATACACATACACATACACACACACACACACACACACACACACACAC